CGTTATCATGTCCCCCTATCTCTCTGTCCTCCAGTGTCGTCAGGTTGATTTCCCTTAACCTCTCCTCGTAGGACATACCTCTTAGCTCTGGGACTAGTCTTGTTGCAAACCTTTGCACTTTCTCTTAGTTTCTTCACGTGCTTGGCTAGGTGTGGGTTCCAAACTGGTGCCGCATACTCCAATATGGGCCTAACGTACACGGTGTACAGGGTCCTGAATGATTCCTTATTAAGATGTCGGAATGCTGTTCTGAGGTTTGCTAGGCGCCATATGCTGCAGCAGTTATTTGGTTGATGTGCGCTTCAGGAGATGTGCCTGGTGTTATACTCACCCCAAGATCTTTTTCCTTGAGTGAGGTTTGTAGTCTCTGACCCCCTAGACTGTACTCCGTCTGCGGCCTTCTTTGCCCTTCCCCAATCTTCATGACTTTGCACTTGGTGGGATTGAACTCCAGGAGCCAATTGCTGGACCAGGTCTGCAGCCTGTCCAGATCCCTTTGTAGTTCTGCCTGGTCTTCGATCGAGTGAATTCTTCTCATCAACTTCACGTCATCTGCAAACAGGGACACCTCAGAGTCTATTCCTTCCGTCATGTCGTTCACAAATACCAGAAACAGCACTGGTCCTAGGACTGACCCCTGCGGGACCCCGCTGGTCACAGGTGCCCACTCTGACACCTCGCCACGTACCATGACTCGCTGCTGTCTTCCTGACAAGTATTCCCTGATCCATTGTAGTACCTTCCCTGTTATCCCTGCTTGGTCCTCCAGTTTTTGCACCAATCTCTTGTGTGGAACTGTGTCAAACGCCTTCTTGCAGTCCAAGAAAATGTGTGTGTGTGTGTGTGTGTGTGTGTGTGTGTGTGTGTGTGTGTGTGTGTGTGTGTGTGCGTGCGTGTGTGTGTGTGTGTGTGTGGTACTCACCTATTTGTGGTTGCAGGGGTCGAGTCTTAGCTCCTGACCCCGCCTCTTCACCGGTTGCTACTGGGTCCTTTCTCTCCCTGCTCCATGAGCTTTATCAAACCTCGTCTTAAAACTATGTATGGTTCCTGCCTCCACTACGTCACTTTCTAGGCTATTCCACTGCCTGACAAATCTATGACTGAAGAAATACTTCCTAACATCCCTTTGACTCAAGTGAGTCTTCAACTTCCAATTGTGTCCTCTTGTTTCTATGTCCCCTCCCTGGAACATCCTGCCTTTGTCCACCTTGTCTATCCCGCGCAGTATTTTATATGTCGTTATCATGTCTCCCCTGACCCTCCTGTCCTCCAGTGTCGTCAGGCCGATTTCCCTTAATCTTTCTTCATAGGACATTCCCCCTAGCTCTGGAACTAACCTTGTCGCAAACCTTTGCGCTTTCTCTAATTTCTTGACGTGCTTGATCAAGTGCGGGTTCCAAACAGGTGCTGGATACTCCAATATGGGCCTGACGTACACGGTGTACAGTGTCTTGAACGATTCCTTACTAAGGTATCGGAGCGCTGTTCTCAGGTTAGCCAGGCGCCCATATGCTGTAGTTTTTTCATCTTTATTTTCTTTTCTGTCTTATTTAGCGTCAAGATTATGCCTAATAAAATGAATTTAAACTGAAATCAATGAAAAAATGTCTCAATCAATGTTGTGGTGTGTGTTTACAATGTTGAAATATTCCTCCTTGGGCTCATTTATACACTACCTGCTCCGCAGGTCATTTTCAGAGTGAGCTGTCATTCGACCTCAGCTCATTTTAAATAACAAACTAAAAGCTGTTATTCAACATTTCATTTACAGACTTAGAGCTGTTATTTTCACCTCACCTCCTTCACTGGCTGAGAGATGTTATTCTACTTCAGCTCCTTCACTGGCTGAGAGATGTTATTCTACTTCACCTCCTTCACTGGCTGAGAGATGTTATTCTACTTCAGCTCCTTCACTGGCTGAGAGATGTTATTCTACTTCAGCTCCTTCACTGGCTGAGAGATGTTATTCTACCTCAGCTCCTTCACTGACTGAGAGATGTTATTCTACTTCAGCTCCTTCACTGGCTGAGAGATGTTATTCTACCTCAGCTCCTTCACTGGCTGAGAGATGTTATTCTACTTCAGCTCCTTCACTGGCTGAGAGATGTTATTCTACCTCAGCTCCTTCACTGGCTGAGAGATGTTATTCTACTTCAGCTCCTTCACTGGCTGAGAGATGTTATTCTACCTCAGCTCCTTCACTGGCTGAGAGATGTTATTCTACTTCAGCTCCTTCACTGACTGAGATGTTATTCTACCTCAGCTCCTTCACTGGCTGAGAGATGTTATTCTACTTCAGCTCCTTCACTGGCTGAGAGATGTTATTCTACCTCAGCTCCTTCACTGGCTGAGAGATGTTATTCTACTTCAGCTCCTTCACTGACTGAGAGATGTTATTCTACTTCAGCTCCTTCACTGGCTGAGAGATGTTATTCTACTTCAGCTCCTTCACTGGCTGAGAGATGTTATTCTACCTCAGCTCCTTCACTGACTGAGAGATGTTATTCTACTTCAGCTCCTTCACTGGCTGAGAGATGTTATTCTACTTCAGCTCCTTCACTGACTGAGAGATGTTATTCTACTTCAGCTCCTTCACTGGCTGAGAGATGTTATTCTACTTCAGCTCCTTCACTGACTGAGAGATGTTATTCTACTTCAGCTCCTTCACTGACTGAGAGATGTTATTCTACTTCAGCTCCTTCACTGACTGAGAGATGTTATTCTACTTCAGCTCCTTCACTGACTGAGAGATATTATTCTACTTCAGCTCCTTCACTGACTGAGAGATGTTATTCTACTTCAGCTCCTTCACTGACTGAGAGATGTTATTCTACTTCAGCTCCTTCACTGGCTGAGAGATGTTATTCTACTTCAGCTCCTTCACTGACTGAGAGATGTTATTCTACTTCAGCTCCTTCACTGGCTGAGAGATGTTATTCTACTTCAGCTCCTTCACTGGCTGAGAGATGTTATTCTACTCAGCTCCTTCACTGACTGAGAGATGTTATTCTACCTCAGCTCCTTCACTGGCTGAGAGATGTTATTCTACCTCAGCTCCTTCACTGGCTGAGAGATGTTATTCTACTTCAGCTCCTTCACTGGCTGAGAGATATTATTCTACCTCAGCTCCTTCACTGGCTGAGAGATGTTATTCTACCTCAGCTCCTTCACTGGCTGAGAGATGTTATTCTACCTCAGTTCCTTTACTGAGAGATATTATTCTACTTCAGCTCCTTCACTGACTGAGAGATATTATTCTACCTCATCTCTTTTACAGGCTAAAAGCTGTTGTCCTGCCTTACCTCATTTACAAAGAGCTGCTATCCTACGGGTGTTCATTTAAAGACTGAGAGCTGTTATCCTACCTCATTTACAGATTAAGAGTTGTGTCCTTACCTCTTCTCACTTACAGACCAAGAGCTGTTATCTTGCCTCTTCTCACAGACCAAGAGTTGCTATCCTACGTCATCTCACTTTCAAGATTTACTGATCTGAACACTAGGTGATCAGAGTTTGTGTGTTCAGTTCAGATGTTGTTATTTCTGTTATTATATGTTGTTTTTAATTAATAATTATTATTTATTTTCATTGTTATTATATTAATATGAGTATTTTATAGTATATTATTATTGTTATTATTATTATTATTATTATTATTATTATTATTATTACTATTATTATTATAAGACTAAAAGCTAAACCCGTGAGAGTCAGGCGATCGGTGCCCAGGCTACTGTTAGCTGCACTGTGGTTACAGCCCTGAGCACTGCTTGTCCTGAATGACTCACCCACGAGGGTTTAACGCTTCGTTAAACACAACCAAAAAAAAATCAGTGAAATCATCCCCCCCCCTCCCACTCTCGTTCCACCAGCATAGCTTATGGATGATAAGAATGATGTTAAGTTGGGAATGCTACCGGGTCCTTCATTGTTTATAAGTGAATGATTGTTGTTTAGAAGTGTTGTTATAGAGAGTCACCCAGCTGGCTAGGACAGCTTCCCAGCTGGCTAGGACAGCTTCTCAGCTGGGTAGGACAGCTTCCCAGCTGGCTAGGACAGCTTCTCAGCTGGGTAGGACATCTTCCCAGCTGGCTAGGACAGCTTCCCAGCTGACCGGGACAACTTCCCGGTGAGTTAGGTTAGCTTTCCAGCTGGTTAGGATGGCCTGCCTGCTACCTGGGACGGTCTGCCTGCTACCTGGGACGGTCTGCCTGCTACCTGGGACGGTCTGCCTGCTGGCTGGGACGGTCTGCCTGCTGCCTGGGACGGTCTGCCTGCTGCCTGGGACGGCCTGTCTGCTGCCTGGGACGGTCTGCCTGCTGCCTGGGATGGCCTGCCTGCTGCCTGGGACGGTCTGCCTGCTGCCTGGGACGGCCTGTCTGCTGCCTGGGACGGTCTGCCTGCTGGCTGGGATGGCCTGCCTGCTGGCTGGGACGGCCTGCCTGCTGACTAGGATGGTCTGCCTGCTGGCTAAGACGGTCTGCCTGCTGGCTAGGACGGTCTGCCTGTTGGCTAGGACGGTCTGCCTGCTGGCTAGGACGGTCTGCCTGCTGGCTAGGACGGTCTGCCTGCTGGCTAGGACGGTCTGCTTGCTGGCTAGGACGGTCTGCCTGCTGGCTAGGACGGTCTGCCTGCTGGCTAGGACGGTCTGCCTGCTGGCTAGGACGGTCTGCCTGCTGGCTAGGACGGTCTGCCTGCTGGCTAGGACGGTCTGCCTGCTAGCTAGGACGGTGTGCCTGCTGGCTAGGACGGTCTGCCTGCTGGCTAGGACGGTCTGCCTGCTGGCTAGGACGGTGTGCCTGCTGACTAGGACGGTCTGCCTGCTGGCTAAGACGGTCTGCCTGCTGGCTAGGACGGTCTGCCTGCTGGCTAGGACGGTCTGCCTGCTGGCTAGGACGGTCTGCCTGCTGGCTAGGACGGTCTGCCTGCTGGCTAGGACGGTCTGCCTGCTGGCTGGGACAGAAATGTCGTCTTCTCGTAAGGTTAAAAAAAAAAAACAATTTTTGTTTTTCTATTTTGTATTAGGTTTTTTCAGTCAACAATTTCCATGGATTTGTGTACATTCGATTTCTTTTGAGGTAACTAAATCCATTGTTTAACTTATAGAAATTTTCTCCGTAATCTCGTGTGCTTCCTGAGCTCTGATAGTGCCGCTGACCCCGATGCCACAGTGGAACCGCTGTACTGCCGTAATGGAGCCACAATGGCACCAGGATGGCACTAGAGGCTCCTCCTTCCACTGTAATGTAAATCCTACCAAAAACAATTTGTACACAGCTATTATTTTACACTCGGTATAGCTATTTTTTTTTTTTACATTTTCTTTTTTACAAATGTAAGCTGCACCTTTTTTTTTTTTTTTGGTCGGTCTAAAACATATCACACGTGTAAAATATGAAGGTCAATGAAAGGTCAATGAAAGGTCAATGAGGTAAATGCTGACATCCCAACTTCCTTGTTGTTTTGGGTTTTTTTTAATGGGTCACGGAATTGGCCTAAGTCTGTCATCTAGAGAACGGTGTTGACACAGGTGGGAGATCTCACAGCATCATCATCTGGTGCGGCGGTGAGCGCGGAGGGAAGAGCAGCGGCGGAGATGTGATGCTCAGACACACAAGAGATGAAACAGAAATATTTGCGAAGATCGACGAGCACATTTATTATTATTATTATTATTATTATTATTATTATTATTATTATTATTATTATTATTATTATTATTAGCTTATCTTCAGTATTTTTTTGTATTTGTCTTATATACAGACCTATTAGCTCTGGTGAACATACACCCACGAAAGTTCTAATACACAGCAAGTACATGTTCTTGTGACCTGTTGCTGTCAACACTCTAGCGAATACGCACACATTCACTCACGCTCATCCACACACGTATGTGTACATACCTAGACAATGACCTGCACACTACTGTTAACAGAGCAACGGAAGTATTTTAAGGCAACAACAGAGGCAACAGATACACATGCGATCTCCTGGTGGGCTGGCAATATGGTCCATACACGTCGCAACGTACCCATGTACACACACACACACACACACACTCTCTCTCTCTCTCTCTCTCTCTCTCTCTCTCTCTAACGAGCCAGGCTGCCCTAACACATACATTTATACTTATAACTGTGATTAATTCTATAACTAAGTTATGGTGATTGCTGGGTTGTGCTAGTCGCCGTACACATTATAAGAGGAGAGGGAGGGCTGCATCTGGATATCATCAATGGCCACTAGCTTCTCCAGAGGCACCAGAGCTAGCTCTCCCTGCACCTCTCTCGTTCCCACCAATGCTGCATAGTCGTCGTGAATCACTTTCTTCTTCTTCTCGGGTTTATTGCTGCGCTTAAATACGTACGACAGACTCTGCGCTCGCTTCAGGAACTTCATTGGGGGTTTCCTTCGAGCTATTGGTTCTCTGGGTTCGTCGGCGGGAGCTGGGGCTGGTGGTGTGGGAACCTCGGGCTGAGTAGAGGCTGGGGTGTGAGGCGTATCTTTGGCGTCCGAGCCAGGGGGAGTCGGTGTCCGGCTCGACGTACTATTCTCCGGAGTGCCCTCTTCGCTAATGTGTCCTGTGGAGTCGTCAGTGTAGCGGCTGTGACCCGTCGTATCTGACACGCACTCCACCGATCTAGATGAAAATTGAGCATATTGACTTCCATGGGTGAAGTCCGGCTTATCAAGGAGTCGTGACCTGGCCTTCATTTGTCCAATCATATTTTCACTTTCAGGTGAGAACCTAAACAATCTGTTCTTTTTATCAACGGTTGCCGGAGCTGACAACATTGGCAGGCTGTCAAATGGCTTTGAAATTAGATCTTCTTCAGAATCATTGGACTCGTTGCTCTCTTGATTCACTATTCTACTGATGCGTGGAACGCGGTGGCGAACTCTTTCGCAAGCTGAGACGCTCCGTCCCAGTCGGACGATCGGCCGTATTCTCGCTTCTTCCAGTTCACGATATCTCATCTCATCTTCTCTCTTCTCATCAAACTCTCCCACCTCGACCGTCCCTTCGCTCAGGCTCCCTCTCTGGCTGCTTGACTCGGCAGGAGAGAGCACCTCGTCCTCATCTATGGTGCTCGTTGGAGACATCTTGAAGGACCTTGCCCTGGAATACATAATGTCCGTCTGGGCAGTTCGATCCACATACTCAGTTGACGTAATGGAATGCCCAAACAAGTACCTGCTGGGGTTAAGACAGAATGTGATTATTATGACTTATATTCAGGCAAAGAGAAAAGTGAAGGGTTCTCAGAGGGAAGGAGGCCGGAAGTCTTGAATTTAATGGAAAAGTAAAAGTTTAAAAAATCTTGAAACTTGCGAAAACACCCCTTTAAAAAACTGAAGCTTAGAAGGTAAGTGGGGCTACTGGTCTCACCTGGGGGAAGAAGGCTGGGAGTCCTCGCGTGTTGGAGGCGAGTTCGAGGATGAGAGGCGACGCAGAGCCTCTCGTCTCTGGAACTCCACTTTAGCCATCTCTGTAGCAATCCACTCTGGAATGTCCGGGATGGCGTAGCTGATGCCGTACTTCAGTGCAATCATAGCATGCTGAAATAGTTCACATTCTTATGTCTCTTGATGAGTTGTACGAGCAGTGATATGTTACTACCGACAGATTGTGGGAATAAGACTCATCCTCTTTTATGGTTTTGTTGACTATTTCTTGGTATCATTTGTTAGAATGGAAGACAGACTACTAAAATAAAGATAATTTTGGTTGATTTCAGGCCATGGTCCTTCCTGGGTTAGTGTTTCCCCAAACAATAAAGCAATATAATACTAATAATAACTCCGAATACAAGTATTTGTTTACACAGTGTTGGCACTGCCATCATCTTACATCTCTTTATTGTAAACTCCTACGTGATATTTTCTACTTCTTAAACCTAATCGATGAACAATAATCAAAATGAACTACATTTTTTTTCAGGGAATGGATGGATTTCAAACCCAGGTTCCAGCATTTACCAGCCTTTTGTTCTCTCCACTACAGTGGGGGTTATTAACACACATACATAAATATCCTATATTCAACAGTACAGAAATAACGCGAATATTTTCGGTTTAAATCGAGAAATTCAGCTTACGAAGAAGGTCGCCTAGAGAGGGTTATTTTTTCACTGTTGAATGTGGGTTATTAGTATGTGGTATCCATATAGTCAGAATATTTTACTAAAGATATACGTATATTGTGTGGCACGCCAAGCCACAGGATGGAAAGCAACCCACCTCAAGGACAATGATGAGGAGGATGGTGTGCGCGGTGGACATTTCAGGGAACATACGATGTACTTGGCCAGACAGACCGATCAGCATGCAGTTGACCATGATTCCCAACACGCCCATCAGTTCCATGGCGTCCTGGAAACACACAATATTTACTGCTAGGTGAATACGGGCACTAAATGTAGCAAAATTTGTTGGCACATCTCACTCTGCCCAGGATGCCATCTACTTGATGACAAGTATGGCACAGGAAGACACTAAATATGTATAGGATGCTTCACCTTACTTCTCTTAATCACAAGATTTGACTCCCGGTTCCTCTAACACACACACATACACACACAGCCACAGAGTAGTCAGTAAGTGGAATAGTTTGGGAAGCGATGAAGTGGAGGCAGGATCCATACATAGCTTTAAGCAGAGGTATGATAAAGCTCACGGCTCAGGGAGAGTGACCTAGTAGCGATCAGTGAAGAGGCGGGGCCAGGAGCTCAGACTCGACCCCCGCAATCTCAACTAGGTGAGTACAACTAGGTGAGTACACACGCACACACATGGTTTCAGAGACGGGAAATCCTGTGTCACAAACCTACTGGAGTTCTATGACATGGTGACAGCAGTAAGACAAGAGAGAGAGGGGTGGGTGGATTGCATTTTCTTAGACTGCAAGAAGGCGTTTGACACAGTACCACACAAGAGATTAGTGCAAAAACTGGAGGACCAAGCAGGAATAACAGGGAAGGCACTGCAATGGATCAGGGAATACTTGTCAGGAAGACAGCAGCGAGTAATGGTACGAGGCGGGGTCCCACAGGGGTCAGTCCTAGGACCAGTGCTGTTTCTGGTATTTGTGAACGACATGACGGAAGGAATAAACTCCGAGGTGTCCACTGTTTGCAGATGACGTGTAGTTGATGAGAAGAGTTCATTCGATCGAAGACCAGGCAGAAATACAAAGGGATCTGGACAGGCTGCAGACCTGGTCCAGCAACTGGCTCCTGGAGTTCAATCCCACCAAGTGCAAAGTCATGAGGATTGGGGAAGGGCAAAGAAGACCGCAGATGGAGTACAGTCTAGGGGTCAGAGACTACAAACATAACTCAAGGAAAAAGATCTTGGGGTGAGTATAACACCAGGCACATCTCCTGAAGCGCACATCAACCAAATAACTGCTGCAGCATATGGGCGCCTGGCAAACCTCAGAACAGCATTCCGACATCTTAATAAGGAATCGTTCAGGACCCTGTACACCGTGTACGTTAGGCCCATATTGGAGTATGCGACACCAGTTTGGAACCCACACCTAGCCAAGCATGTAAAGAAACTAGAGAAAGTGCAAAAGTTTGCAACAAGACTAGTCCCAGAGCTAAGAGGTATGTCCTATGAGGAGAGGTTAAGGGAAATCAACCTGACGACACTGGAGGACAGGAGAGATAGGGGGGACATGATAACGACTTACAAAATACTGAGAGGAATTGACAAGGTGGACAAAGACAGGATGTTCCAGAGACTGGACACAGTAACAAGGGGACACAGTTGGAAGTTGAAGACACAGATGAATCAAAGGGATGTTAGGAAGTATTTCTTCAGCCACAGAGTAGTCAGGAAGTGGAATAGTTTGGGAAGCGATGTTTACCTGGAGTTTACCTGGAGAGAGTTCCGGGGGTCAACGCCCCCGCGGCCCGGTCTGAGACCAGGCCTCCTGGTGGATCAGAGCCTGATCAACCAGGCTGTTGCTGCTGGCTGCACGCAAACCAACATACGAGCCACATCCCGGCTGATCCGGAACTGACTTTAGGTGCTTGTCCAGTGCCAGCTTGAAGACTGCCAGGGGTCTGTTGGTAATCCCCCTTATGTGTGCTGGGAGGCAGTTGAACAGTCTCGGGCCCCTGACACTTATTGTATGGTCTCTTAACGTGCTAGTGACACCCCTGCTTTTCATTGGGGGGATGGTGCATCGTCTGCCAAGTCTTTTGCTTTCGTAGTGAGTGATTTTCGTGTGCAAGTTCGGTACTAGTCCCTCTAGGATTTTCCAGGTGTATATAATCATGTATCTCTCCCTCCTGCGTTCCAGGGAATACAGGTTTAGGAACCTCAAGCGCTCCCAATAATTGAGGTGTTTTATCTCCGTTATGCGCGCCGTGAAAGTTCTCTGTACATTTTCTAGGTCGGCAATTTCACCTGCCTTGAAAGGTGCTGTTAGTGTGCAGCAATATTCCAGCCTAGATAGAACAAGTGACCTGAAGAGTGTCAGTGGAGTCAGAATCCATACATAGCTTTAAGCAGAGGTACGATAAAGCTCATGGTTCAGGGAGAGTGACCTAGTAGCGACCAGTGAAGAGGCGGGGCCAGGAGCTTGGACTCGACCCCTGCAACCTCAACTAGGTGAATACAACTAGGTGAGTACACACACACGCACACACACACACACACACACACACACACACACACACACACACACACACACACACACACACACACACACACACTCGCAGGAACCAAGGATCAGATGAGAATGGTTCTGGTAGGGAGGAGTGGATGGAGGAGCAGTGGAAAAGGATGGAACAAGAGTGGGAGAGAAAATTAGGAGAGCTTTCTGAAAAAATGGAGAAAGAGCTCTCTGTGAAATTGGAAAAGAGGTTGGAGAAGGAGACAAAGAATTGTGAGGCACAAGTCGAAACTGCAGTAGCCAAGATAAGGGTCCTAGAAGTTGAGATAAATAGGCTGAAGCGAGTTACAGGGGCAGTGACCAGAGAAGACACAGCATATGAAGCTGCGAGGCCGAACAGGAAGGAAGGAATTATGAATTATGCTAAGGTCATATCAGCCTGCCAAGGAGGACCAAGGAGTGAAAGGGAAGAACAGCTGGTTGCAGATGGAGAGGATGATAGGTCGAATGCTGAGGCACAACCAGGCTATCAAGAGCCACTGGAAAAATCAAGGGAGAAACTGACCACATACAGGCAGGATCCAGAGTCACAGAGGGTGAGGCAATGGGAGGAAGAAAGGGCAAAATCAGTGTTTATCCATGGGCTTCAGGAGAGAGAGGAAAGGACACACACTGAAAGGCAGCAGGAAGAAAGAAAGGAGATTGAGAAAATCATCACGGAAATAGGTGAAGAGATGGACGAGATTGTAAATTTTCAGAGAATAGGGGGGTACTCGAAGGGGAGAAACCGACCAATCAAGCTGATTCTCAGGATGGAAACAGTGCGGAACAGGATCTCAAGGAAACCACCATTGAAATACTCGGAAGAGTACAAGGGGGTGTTCCTAGACAGAGACAGAACAAAATCAGAACGACAGTAGCTGAGGGAGAGGACAAAAAGCAAAAGGAGCTGGGAAAGAGACAAGGATGGAACCAGCAGAGGCAGTCAGAGCAGAACAGAACAGCAAGGGGGCAAGCACACACAAAAACTATTCTCAGAACCATACAACCTATCACACCATCCAACACACACACTACAATCCATACCCACAGCCTCACCCAACACCGAGCTTTTGAATCTCCCCAGTATGCCACCAGGTCTTCCACCTCACAGGCCCCCAAACACAGTGTTGGAAAGGAAACTGAAGGTATAGTACACAAACGCTGATGGAATAACAAATAAGTGGGGGAGTGGCATGAAAGAGTCAAAGAAACATCACCGGACATCATAGTCTCACAGAAACCCAAGCTTACAGGTTGATAACGATGCCATCTTTCCAACGGGATACCAAATCTGAGGAAAGACAGAGGAAACAGGGGGGGTGGAGGAGTGGCGTTGCTGATCAAAATATCGCTGGAATTTTGATGAGCTGGAGAGAGGGACAGCGGAGAAGAAAGTGATTAAAATTTGCGGGAACACTTCACTTGGAGGTCCCAAGGTGGTATAGCAGGGATTTTAAAACCCACACAAAACAGGGGGGGAGGCAAGAAAGAGTACGCGAGGCAATGGCGGGGTTTTGATCACGGCTAGAGGGGCCAGAAAGTCAAATGAGCAGGGAAAAAGCTCCTGATCATGGGTGACTTTAAACAGGAGATCGTTTGGGGAAAAATTGGCCCCCACATGGGGGGCCAGATAATGGGGGGCAAGATGATGGGGTGGTATGGAAAATTATGTGCCAACAGTGGGGGACACTACAAGGAGGAGGAGGGATAAAAACGCAAGGGGGACTTAGATTCACCTTGGTAGTGCAGATTTCGAGGACATCCATACAAAAAACCCCCTGGGGCCAGTGCCCAGTGGTTTTGCTTCGAATACACATAGAGTACAAGTGGAGGGAGAAGCGGAAGGCCCAGGACAAAAATGAAGCCAAACTACAAGAAAGAGGACTACCGGGTTGGGGAAAACTACCTGAACGGGGTTCAGGGGGGAAGAGAACTGGCGGGGGGAAGCCAGTTAATGAAATGAGGAATAGTGCAACAAAATGCAAGGAGGCTGAGGGGGTTTGTCCCCAAGGGAAAACAGGAAAAATGGAAGCAGGGACCCCATGGTTTACCCAAAGGTGCAGGGAGGAAAAAACCCAAAGTGTGTGGGAAGGGAAAAATATAGAAGGCAAAGGGACCCAGGAGATAAGGGACCAGTCGTAGGGGGAAAAAAGAATATGCACAGAAAAAAGGGGGCCCCAAAGAAAATATAAAAAATGACTAGAGCGAAACCCAAAATCTGACCCAAAACTGTTGTACAGCCACATCAGGAGGAAAAAAAAACCCAGTCAAGGCCAGGAAATCAGGCAAAGGGAAGGGAAAGGAGGAGGGAGTCAACAAGAAATGACCGTGAAGTATGTGAAGAACTAAACAAGAGATTCAAGAAGTGTTCACAGGGGAGCAGAAGGGACTCCAGAAAGAGGAGAGGGGGGGCAACCACCAAGTGTGGAACAGTGCACCCCCCCGAGGAAGAAAGTGAAGAGGTTCTGAGTGGCTAGTCCCTTTCAAAGGCAATGGGGCCGATAACATCTCCCCATGGGTGTTGAGAGAGGGAGCAGAGGTGCTATGTGTATCCCTAAAACAAATTCAAACTCTATCGAAAAGGGAGTTTGCCTGAGGCAGGGAAGAAGCAAATGAGTCCCAATCTTTAAAAAGGAAAAAGAATGAAGCATTAAACTCGCCCCAGTGACTGACATGTATAGTATGCAAAATCTGGAGAAGATTATCAGGAGAAGGGTGGGGAACCCTAGAAAGGAAAAGATCTCATAACAGCAGCCAAAATGGTTTTGGGACGGGAAATCCTGTGTCACAAAAATATGGGTTCTATGACTTGGGGACGCAGTAAGACAAGGGAGAGGGGTGGGTGGATTGCATTTTTTTTGGGCTGTAAGAAGGCGTTTGACCAGTTCCACACAGAGATTGGTGCAAAAAAGGAGGACCCAAAAGGGAAACAGGGAAGGCACTACAATGGATCAGGGGAAAAATTTTTCAGGAAGACGCAGCGAGTCATGGGCGTGGCGAGGTGTCAGAGTGGGGACCTGTGACCCGCGGGGTCCCGCAGGGGTCAGTCCTAGGGCCGTGCTGTTTTTTTGGGATTTGGAACACATGACGGAAAAAAATAGACTTGAGGTGTCCCTGTTTGCAGTGACGTGAAAATTGTGAGAAGAATTCACTCGATCGAAGACCCGGCAGAACTACAAAAGGGGTCTGGAAGGCTGCAGACCTGGTCCGCAATTGGCTCCCGGAGTTCAATCCCACCAAGTGCAAAGTCTGAAAATTGGGGGAAAGGGCAAAAAAGACCGCAGACGGAGTCAGTTAGGGGGCCAGATACTACAAACCTCACTCAAAAGGAAAAAAAATCTTGGGGTGAGTATAACCCCGGACATCTCCTGAAGCGCCATCAAACCAAAAAATGCTTTAGCTTGGGCGCCTGGCAAACCTCGAAAAAAGATTCCGTCTTAATAAGGTCATTCAGGACCCGTACACCGTGACGTTAGGCCCCCTTTGGGTATGCGGCAACCCGTTTTTGGGAAACCCCCACCTTGCCAAGCACGTGAAGAAACTAGAGAAAGTGCAAAAGGTTTGAACAAGATGTCCAGAGCTAAAAGGTATGTCCCCGAGGAGAGGTTAAGGGAAATCAACCCGACGACACTGGGGGACAGTAGAGATAGGGGGGACATGATAACGACATACAAAATACTGAGAGGAATTGACAAGGTGGACAAAGACAGGATGTTCCAGAGATTGGACACAGTAACAAGGGGGACACAGTTGGAAGCTGAAGACACAGATGAATCACAGGGATGTTAGGAAGTATTTCTTCAGCCACAGAGTAGTCAGTAAGTGGAATAGTTTGGGGAAGCGATTGTAGTGGAGGCAGGATCCATACATAGCTTTAAGCAGAGGTATGATAAAGCTCACGGCTCAGGGAGAGTGACCTAGTAGCGATCAGTGAAGAGGCGGGGCCAGGAGCTCGGACTCGACCCCCGCAACCTCAACTAGGTGAGTACACAAAAACAAACACACACACACACACACACACACACACACACACACACACACACACACACACACACACACCACACAAAACACACAACACACACACACACACACACACACACACACCACCATCACACACACACACACACACACACACACACACACACACACACACACACACAGACAACACACACACACACACACACACACACACACACACACACACACACAAAAAAGGATAAAACTACTCATAGGTAAATAGGCTAATATAAGACATATTTATATAAAACGTACAAAGAGGTCTGTAAATTACCATATATGAAAATATATAACCAATTTGTTCAGCAAATTCCAAATGAATAAATTAAAACCGAATAACTCAACAGGAGGTGATGGAAAGCCATGAATGACTAACAATAAACCACTAAACCCGCATGGGTCGTTCAGACAAGTAGTGATAAAGATTCGACCCTCCGTCTGGTAAGCCAGAAAAGAGAAAAAAAATGGAAAAAGTAATGTGCTGAGACTAATAAATAAAGCAGAAGCGCTGACGAGTTGGAGAGAACTATTACAGTAGGAAAATAAAGGAACAAGTTTAGCAGATAAGAGGAACTCACAGTCAGATCTATTGTTCGTATACATAAAAGCAAATTAAAAGTGAAAGATGCTCTTCAATTATATATATATATGTATGTATATATAACTGAAGAGCTTTGGTGCTAATATGGCTAGAGTGGATTACATAGAGTGGAACAATCTACCAGGCAGTATTTGAGGCTAACACATTTAAGTATCTTTAAAAATAGGTTGGATAAATGTAGGAGTGAAGAAGGATGAGTCAGAGAAAGACCTGCCTAGCATGCAGTGCTTTTACACTCTTACCTCGCCGGGTCACCATCTGGAGAAGACCCGGGCCAGGACAAGACCGGCGAACCTACTACGGTACTACATTCTTACATTCTTCAATGACTTCGGTGTGTGACTGAGAAAGGACCATTGGGTGGTTAAGAGGATCAACTTTTGTGACTAACTTACTGGTGAATTTATGGGATAAACAGTAGTAGTAGAAGCTAGTGGTGAAATCTGTGGGAGGTATTGCGAAGGTATACGCAATGACCTCCAATTTTACAGGAAATCTTACACTGCCACGCAGTACCCACCTGCTTCAAGTAGACAGTACCCACCTGCCACAAACAGTCAAGCATCCACCTGCTACAAACAGCCAAGCATCCATCTGCAACAAGTAACTAAGCACCCACCTGCCACAGCCAGCACCCACCTGCCACAGTCAGCACCCACCTGCCACACACCGATGCTCTGAGCTCGGTTGCCGAAGGGTCTCTGGAAGACGCAGCAAAGCTTGAAGGCATCTGAGCGGATCTCGATGAGATTGTTGAGGAAGGCGCACATGGCGGCCAGCGGGAAGGCTGACGAGAAGAGAGTCACGTAGCCGAACTGGATGAACATCTCCAGGTAGTCTTCGAACGTCCCCTCATACTGCGGCAAATACCACGTAAATAAAGTGATTGAATGAAAGATGGTAGACGAGCCTCCTGCCTCAGCGGGAAACAGAAGCTGAGGTCAGGAAAAAAAGATAACAGATACACATTAAATAAAATGTTGCAATTAATTTAGGATTCACCAAGATAGGCTGACTCCTAAGGAAGGAAACACGTTTGCCATCGCTCGTTCAATAGTTGTCTTACCAGAAGCATGGAAATGTGAAGCACAAGTAGTTGAACAAGTTTTTTTTTCCCCCATGGACTGCTTACATTGACTTGCCACAGCTCTTGGTGAGTGAAATTCAGTCTCAGTAAATTTCTTAGTTGCACATGTGTCCATTTACCTAATAACTTAGTCATTTTATTGGAAGAACATTTCGTTCTGCGTACAGTCAAGCTAACATGACATGACAGATCTACACAGAGAGAAATGTTGTCTCACTATAAGCTCGTTCTGCAACTTGCGTCCTTGTTTTCATTAAGGTAATAAACCTTAAAAAAGCAAAAGATGACCTTAGATCCTAGTACACATACTAGCTAAGTTCACAACAGAGAACAATATCAGATGTGTCCAGCAAGATTTCCTATTATCCACGAGAGGGAAGTATCATATCCCTGTATCCAGGATGATCATTATTGTGATGAACGGTTTGAAAAACCGACAAGTTGAAGATTGAGACACTTATGCAGCATATGGGAATCTTTATTCAGGAAACGTTTCGCCACACAGTGGCTTCATCAGTCCAATACAAAGAGGAAGGCGTAAGGAGAGGAGGAGAATGAGGTAATCAGTCCCTCAACCTGGAGTCGATGTGTTCAGTCCATCAATCTTGTAGAAAGTACAGCATAGGGCCGTAAACGTGGCTTATATACTGTAGTGAGGTGACGTGAAGCAGGCGGAGGCGGGGTCATAGTGGTACCATCCACTAGTCGAAGTAGGTCTTCGTCCAAAGGTTGAACAAGTGTTGAGAATTCTTTGTAACAAGTCATGATGCTGCAGTGTCTGACAGTTGTGATGATGGTTTGAAAACGACAAGTTGAAGATTGAGACACTTATGCAGCATATGGGAATCTCCATCTGCTTCACGTCACCTCACTACAGTATATAAGCCACGTCTACGGGCCTATGCTGTACTTTCTACAAGAATTGAATGGCCTGAAACATCGACTCCGGTTGAGGACTGATTACTCATTCTCCTCCTCTCCTTACGCCTTCCTCTTTGTATTGGACTGATGAAGCCACTGTGTGGCGAAACGTTTCCTGAATAAAGATTCCCATATGCTGCATAAGTGTCTCAATCTTCATCATGATCATTATTATCACTGAGGTTAATAACAGCCCTGTGGAGAGCTGTCACAATTGAAGACACGAGTTTACCATCCTTGGAGATAATGGTATAAAATACCTACACGATGAAAGAATATATAGACAAGTGCCGTATAATGGGATCGTTTATTGACAACGTTTCGACCATACAGTGGCTTAATCAAGTCACAAACATGTGACTCACTGCAGTTATCTATATTTTTCCCTCCTTTGGTATCTTTCTTGAGATGTTACTACACCTCCGGGACTCCTCGTTTCTCCTCTGTATTAGTCTAACTTTAGCCTAGCTAGCTGGTTAGTGGAACAGAGGATCGAGTCTCCACCACTCCTTCCACCGCATTCACGGGTTTAGCGTTTCTCACAGAGAAATTAATATTAATCCTCTGTATTTCGACTGAAGAAGCCTGTCCAGCAGGCGATATGTCTCGGTAAAATAACAAGCAAACAAGCTGTTGTACATGTGTCTTACTCATCTTGTCAGAAACCAGGTCAGGGAATCGGGCAGGATATTCTTTGAGCTTATGTCATTAAAAATAGGATAAATATTCCGCTACTAGCTTGATGCTGAGTTGACGTGGCTGCTGTAGTCACGGGAGGGAAAAGTTATTTTGAGAGCGTCTTTGTCAACTGAGGTGCTACTTTATCAGTAAAAATGTCACTGAAGAGCCAGTCTTAAAAGAGGTCGGAAATTAGAACCACTGAGAGTTGCGTAAGATTTCTTACCCTTGACATGTTGCACTCCACTTCTGCCTGGCTGACGATGCGGTTCTTACTGCTGCCGCGGGCGAGGTAGGGGTCTCCGCTCCCTACAGCTGTTACCTCCCCGCTGCTCGGCGGTGCTGCTGTTGCTGCTGCTGCTGTCTCTCTGCTGTTGGCTGTAACTCCTGGACACGAATCTGTCCCTCCCTCTTCCGGTATCTGTAAACACGTGAAGACATCTACAGCAGCAGTAAGAACAGACTGACAGCGTGTGGCTTCAACTGACGGCTCCCTCAGAGGTGAGAGCTAGTGTGACACTGCTTTCTCCTGTCAGAGGACTGTTGATAGTAACTCGAAAACTAGTCGTGAAATGTTAAAGAAGAGACGAACGTTGCAGAAGAAGCTCTCATCAGGACAACTTTTCTCTCTGTATAGAACCTTATATACTACACTGAGCCAAACGTTGTCCTGGTAAAAGCTTCTGCTGCATGTCATTCCTTCGCTGTTGTCGGTAACATGACATTTAAATCCAGTTCGTCAGGAAATATGCTAGTTTCGGAATTAAGAGACACAAGTGGAAATAATTAGTGGCAACAGGAAAAAATCAGGAGGTGAACAGTATATGGAAGTATATGTAGAAGACAGATACCTGGAGGTTCTCTGATACAAGGAACAGCAAGAGACAGGACTTATACAGAAACCAGGACCTACATAGAAACCAGAACCTACGTGGGAAGTAGGACCTTCCTAGGAACATTTCTAGGAAGGAAGACCATCCTAGGAAGGTCCTGGGTGGTGGTACATTCCTAGGAAGACCTTCCTAGAAATACACCACTTCCTTGAAAACATGCACCTGGGGAAATATTACCTACGTAGAAAAACTTACCTGTGTGTCTCCTGCGGGCTGCGGCGGGTTCTCCTGCGGCCAGTCCTGATGTTTGGTTTCCTCGGAGGGGGAGAGAGCGCCGTAAAGGTCGAAGCTCAGCTTGGCCAGCTTAAACTGCTCCAGCAGGTAAGGGATACAAGACTCCTTGATGTTACCCACTACCTGCCGCGTCAGGAGCAACGCTGCCAGTTGCTGTCCATGTTCATACATACATATAAATACAACTACACTCTCTTGTTGTTCCTATTGCTATTATTATTATTATTATTATTATTATTATTATTATTATTCTTGTACTTCATGTGAAGCATTAATTCCGAGTAGATTATTCAACGCAAGGATTAGCGAAGGCTCTCTCTTCTGTCCGCTGATTGTGAGAAGGAAACAGAAGGTAGATGATGGTACACGTCAACAAGGTGACGAGTAAGAGAAAGACTAGAGAGCAAAATACACCATTAAGTGTAAATGTTCTGAAAAAAAATAAATTCTTCAGCGGGATCATTAAAACTGTGTTCTGTTAATTTCATCACCCGGTTTATAACGATACATCCATCATATGTGATTTATTTTCACGAAATGAAGTGTATTTTTCAGCGTCCTGGCGTGCCACTTTCAGAGATACAATTTACCGTAAAACAAATAAAATATCCTGTTGCATCTGAGTATTGTATTGCGGACGGAGGATCGAGCCACCATCACTACTTGCGCTGAATAACAGTTGCTGGTTTAGACTTTGTGAAAGGCATTCAGTACACTAGTTGTTAATTAACTGTCAGACGTTATATAGATGAACTTATTGATCTTATAGAATAATTCAACACATACAGTATGAATATACTTAGAATATGTGAAATATATTGTGTTTTTAAAGGGGTTTTATGGAATTTTGAAGGAGTTTTAGAGTCTAACGGCTGTTTTAAGAGGCTTTAAGGAGTTTTGGAGGTTTTCAGGGATTTTAAAGGGTTTTAAAGTTTTAAAGAGTTTTAGGGAATTTTAAGGAGTTTTTAGTCAGTTTTAAGGATTTTTCTAAGTATCAATTATGAGGGTTTTAAACTGGAGGGAGGGAGGGAGGGAGTCTTGATGGAAGAACCTAGCCAACACACACACACACAGGGTCGGGGACACGAGCTATAAATCACCCCTGCAGCTACAACCAGGCGAGTACACACATACACAGTAACATCGACAAAATAATTCACCAAACAGTGTTGATAATCTAGTAAGAATAGTTACAGATAGACGAGAATAAGTTGCAATTCACCTCTTTGAGACGTTCCATGTCTTGCAAGTAGAAGGCAATGTAGAACAACGACAGGAATGAGTTTACGAACCGAAACTGCAACACAAAAGATATATTAAGTAGTTAGTTTTTTCTCTCTCTGTCTCAAGACGTATAAAAAAAGGCTGTAGAAGTACAGGTATGTTAATACACAGTGAAAATAAGACACTGGCATAATCAAGACATTCATTGAAGGAGATGTTTTGTCTTTATCAATCGTAGGGATTGATTAACAAAGCCACAAGACGCCAAAGGTCTCCTTCAATAAATACGACTTGATAGCACATATGCGTCTTACTCTCACACACAGAAAAACAGCGTCACGCAACTCACCACTGAAAGTTTAATGATGAGGTGATTCTGGTAGGTCTCCTCCGTTCGGTAATTTTCTGTAAAGACACGCACATCCAACTTAGTAGCATGTCACAACATCATCAAATGTCACTTCAAGGCAGCTTAGCAAAGCCATCGGGGCAGCTGGCCTACAATGCGTGAATTAACATGGCATTAACCCAACCAACGTTACGTTCCCTGCGGCTGCCTGAGCAGTATATTCGTGTTATACACTACTGAGTTTAATTTTAGATTTGGGTGAAGAGAAGAGAGAATGTGAAGAGTGGAGGAGGGGAAAGAGAGAGAGAGAATAGAAAGTGTAAGAAGGGTGTTGCTGAAGAAACATTGGAGTGTAATACATCAGAAGATGAAGAACAGTGTAGGAGAAGGAGGTAAGAGGTGAAGGGTGGAAGGAAAGGAGGATGGAGGGGAAGAACGGTGATGGGGAAAAGTAGGCTTCTAACATCCCAATGTTGGTGTGAAGGGGAGAGGAAAGCTGAGGCGAAGGGTAATGTGTTAGAACCTACCCAGGGCTGAGGAAAAGGTAACTGTGGTGGAGAGATACACGAATGACGTGCCCATACCAGGGAAAGGAAGGTTAGGATGGAGAAAGACTTGCAGAAGGAACCCATGCGAGAGGAAGGAGGCTGGGATGAAGAAAGACACAATGAACGTACCCATGTCGTTGAGCCAGACGGCTACCTTTGTATAGCCTTCATCAAAAGCGGAGATGGTGAGGGCCATGAGAATCTTGGGAGCGTAGGACAGGTAGAATGTGTACTCGTGCGCCGTAATAAAAGCATCACACAGGTCCTGAGAACACATACATAAGCATCAACTTCTTGGTACACGCTTTTTAAAAGTCACCTATGTTTTGTTTTTTTTTAACAGAAATTATATACAATGTTGTACTATGTGTACTACTTTTTTTTTTTTTACAATTTAATTATATAAATTTAGTTATGCTGATTTGCTGTGAGTAATTTTTAATAGTTGATTTTGTTGTTCGTCTGTGGTCATGGAGTCGAATATTTTGAGTCACACTGAGTTTAAATTCTTCGTCTTAGTACCAGAAATTCCATTCGCTAAAACATAAACAGGCACTTAATAAATGTAACAAGAGAGCTGGATATTTTTACTCTAGAAATTTATTCGGAAATGTGCTAAAGAAGGAAGAACTACATTGTCAAGTAACCGACCTGGAGTTGCAGGAGGAGCAGCATGACGATGAAGACAACCAGCAAGGAGCAGAATATGATGGGAAGGGTAACGAAGTAGCGGATGAGGTTACGTCTCCAGGCTGGATACTCAGGTTCCAGGCGACCCGTCACGCTGCTCACCCGTAGCTCACCCTGTCATGTACACACACACACACTACACCTTCAGCACACGTACACTCAGCTCACTTCAAAAGTAATGTTACATCTAATTAAACAATGTTTTGATTGGTCTCAGAAAATGATGCCATACGGATCGCGATGAAAATTCCAAGTAATGAAAAACTGATATAACATTTCACACTATCGCGAAAACGACGTCGTGTGTACGCACACGTATATATATATACACACACACTATATAATATATATATATAATAATATATATTATATATATATATATAATATTATGATGTGTGTGTGGGTGTGTGTGTGTGTGTGTTGTGATGTGTGTGTGTGTGATTGTGTGTGTGTGTGTGTGTACGTGTGCGTGTGTGTGTGTATGTGTGTTGTGTGTGTGTGTGTGTGTGTGTGTGTATGTGTTGTGTGTGTGTGTGTGTTGTGTGTGTGTGCGTGTGCGTGTGTGTGTGTGTGTGTAGTGTGTTGTGTGTGTGTGTGTGTGTGTGTGTGTGTGTGTGGTGTGTGTGTGTGTGTGTGTATGTGTGTGTGTGTGTGTGTGTGTGTGTATTATTTTATTATAATATATATTATATTATATATTATCTGTGATTCAGCCAGTACTCAGTAATTAATTTCACCAATTCTTAAAACATCTCCCGAGTTCTACCTATATAACATTTTTTTTTTTCACTTCTAAAGCGGCAATGAAAAAATACATGAATGTTCACAATGTTAAACTGCCATCATCCAAGCGTCTGAATTCCTTAAATGGATGAGTTTAGGGAGTAAAAACATGATTATCCTAGTGGTCTACGGGCCCATCAGCCAATATTTCAGATTCTCACTGGAGTAAACGCGTCATGCAGATGTGACAGGCTATGAAGGTTCATGATACAAAAAAAAAAAGGTTTCATTGAGTGCAATAAAAATTTGGTTAGTATATTGTTTCTTCATAGTTAATAAAACTCTTACCCGGCTCTTACAAGATGTCTGAGTTGTTCTCAGATATAAAACTTCGAGAGTGAAATTATGATTTTTTTTTTAAACATGTTTCCAATCCCACTGAACCACCACACACACACACACACCCACACACACACACACACACACACACACACACACACACACACACACACACACACACACACACACACACATGCTCGGGAGTGCCTTGAATATTCAATCACTCATGACTGTATATCGACGGATGGGCTAAGAGGATATAGCAAGTAAAAAATAAAATTGTCGAGATGGACTGAATAATGGAGTATCATATAACCATAATATCTGAAAATTTAAAATACTGTTATGTCTATATGTTAACATATTCCTACCTAGCCTACTTTTTTGTACAAAATTCGTGTTTAAAAACGAAGCCAAGTAAATGGGAGACACAGAATAATGAAGACAAAATCTACAATATTATAGGTTTTAGGCTGACATGGAATAGAGATTTATTACAGAGGGGAACATTAATCTAAATAGCAATGAAATGTAACTGCAGAATGTAAGTATGTCATGCACATGAGAAGCTGTGTTGTGCTGAGTTGTGCTAGAGTGTGCTACTGTCACCTTGCAAAGATGGTGACTGCTAAAAAATCAGTCAGGTGCCTTTGTTTACATGTCTTCTACAATTCTATTAGTATTATAAAAATTGGAAGGACAAAACACAGGTCATTATACGAGCCATGTCACTCCAGCTAGCCAGAAAGATTCACAAAAGTTAAGGCCAAAGTCCTGCTAGCTCGAAGAGTAACTCAGTTGTCTTTGCAAATATTGATTAAAAAGACATGAATTATGTTCTTGGTATTAATTAAGAAGACATTAATATATTCTTTATGTATTTAAGGACTAAAACAGTAGATTTTCCAAGCTATTAATAAATTTTAAGGTGCGCAGAAAGATAATACCAGCCTAATGCACGTCCTAGGAATGTAACCTGTTGTAAGATTTTGCTTAGGCTCAATAAAAATACTGCCTACAAGCTTTTTTAAATATAGTCCGACCCCTTTTTTAAATATATTCCGACCCCTGAACTCCCCCTTAAGCCATAAACCATTTAGTTTTAAATCGCATCTGTCGAGCACCATCTACTGTTAAGTAGTTAATTTACACGAGATGAAAAATTTGCATAATAAATATCCTAATGTATGTAAATTAACCTAACTTGAACTCAATGTTCCCTTCAAGTTTTTTTTCTGGCCAGGAAAAATCGTAAGAAGACTCCATAAACTGCTGAGTTATAACTTGTATAATGGAAATGGATTTGGTAAAAAAAAATTTGTTTTGTCAAAAGGAATTTGTTCCTTAACAAAATTAGCAAGATGTTATATATAAATAATTAAAAAAAAAAAAACCTTTGGTATTATGTATCACAATTATGTTCCGAACAGAATAAATTCTTCTAGTTAAGAATTTAAGCTCCATTTAAATATTATTAATGCAGTGTGACGTTTTTAGTACATAAATTATTAAAATATTAGCCATGAAAATATAATTATCTAGGAAATCAGTTTTTTTTTCTCTTATCTCGTAACCCATGTACTTATTTCATGTTAAATATTTTTTTTCACTTCTATAACATAGCTTCGTACTCAGTCATTGATATTACATATCATACCATGATAAGACGGGATATATGCCATAATATATCCTTCAATCGCACAGTTCTGTGCTATATCTACCCTTTTCTGAGCTTCGTACTTTTTCTTCTTCTCATGGCCTGGTGTGTTAAGGTACAGTACAAGAAAGCCTCAGTATCTCAAAATTTTCTACAAAGTCCTACGATAGAACAGTTGATGCAAAGATTAGCGTACATATTTCAAACCATGCAGAAGGGAAAGATCTACATCGCCATTTTACATTTAATTGTTTTTTCAAACCTTCGCAGCAACCACAAACACTACACTAGTTAACCAACTACAAGAACAACATGCCCAAGTTAGGCCAAAAATAATAATGCGCCTCTGGAGGCCTCAACCTAGCTTCTAGCCCTTCCCTGACCTACCCGTTCATGTATTATACTCACCATTGCCATCTAGGACCCAGTGAGGAGATAAGAAGTGTCATTGTCAGCTACATGGGTCAGAGGTATAAAGCATTATACGCACGCCTTAACTTTCGTTACTTAACGTACGATCATCGAATTCTGTTAAGAATGTGGAAAAGCAACAACAATAATGGATAGATAAAAATAAAATAAAATGGATTATATAAATAACCAGACAACTTTTTTTTTTAAATGCGTGATTATTTTTTATTATATCTAATAAAGAGGTGAGAATAAGGGAAGTATAATGGAAATACTGACACAACAGAACCTTGTAGAAACACAAGACCAGGACCGCCAGGCTGGGTCACACTGGCTCTTAAATCTCATCAAAACTCGGTGATATCAATATATCAGTTCAGTAACCTCCTTACTGATTTAGATGAAATGAAAAAAAATAACGTAATGTTGCTGAACACAGAATGGGTGTGACTTAATTAAGGGGATCCAGCCTATTAGATCCTGTACTAATGAGACTTGGTTCTCAGACATTACTCTCCTCACATACATCCCAGCCTTCATTCCACTCTTCTTTATTATACAGTCACATTATCCTGATTGCAGTCAGATGTTCTCTGATAGAGTAAGGTTATGCACCTTTTGTGTCCTTAGCTTACTTGACTGCTGATTAGTAGTCAATCTTGTAAAATACAGTACTGAGATTATTTATACTGTACCATGAATCTCATCCCACTGTAAACATATATGCAGTGTACTTTTGAATTAAAACAGTTTTGTATATACCTAGCAGTAAATTCTCTTTGAGTGAGTTTATGCATTTGCTTACAAAAAAAATATTATCAATAACCAAAAAACTATTACGAATTTTCTTAGTTAACAAATCGAATTTAGTGATTACGATACCAACATGAAAAGAAGAATATAGCCTTTATGTGTATTAAACACAAGACCTACTTGCACAGTTTAATGACAAGACGTTCTAAAAAGGCAGTGTGACTTTTTTCAATTAAGGAGATGATGCAGTTTGTTCAATATGAACAAATCCGAAGGCTCTGATGAGCGGCCTTAGTCATTCACCTCAAACAGGTGGCATATCTAGTGATGTTTTTAATGAATCTGTATCATGATTACAATTTGTAATGCATTTTGGCCAAGATTAAAATACAGAGATGAAGAATAAAAAACAATACCGTGACTGGAACAATCCACGAGACACAAACTGGAGGAGACTTGGGCTGTGTATCCAGCTCTCCGAGTTCTACTTCTGACCGATTTTAAAAGGAGTTCTCTGGAAGCCTTACTATATGGCAGACTTCATCAGTAACTAGACTGTTGCTGCCAGTGGTCCGCATCACAACCTGGCTGATCCGCAACTTATGTCAGTAAAGATTTACAGTAGTTACCTCTTGACAGACCTCTGCCTTTGTTCTGGTGGCATTTGTTGCATACGCTGATAGCTCTGAATTCCAGCTTTCTCCACTTCTCATTCTCCCTCGAGACTTAGTGATGTTCCTGGACGGACCGAAACGTTGGAGTAAAACAGACAAAACGTTGCCAAGTTTATTTTCTATAATTTCTGGATTGGATATTATTAAACGAGTTGTTTGGGCTTAATCACTCTGTTAGCAAAGAGGAAAGTTTACCTCTGAAGAAAAATATCAACTAAATGTAAACTATGGTGTCTTGCTCATAGAAAACGGGTGCTGGAATATTAAGCCACCTGGTCAATATAGAAACCAATAAAAAATAAGTCACAATACCATTATTAAATCGCGACTTGATGACGGTCATGCACAGATCGAAACGTCGTCTAATGTTTCCTCTCTACACTTAGGGTTAGGTGTGAATAAATCTATGCTACAAACATTCTCCAGGAGCTGAGTCTCGACCCCTGCAACTATAATTAGGTGAGTACGTACACATCTTCAATATTTAAAGCATTTGTAAAATGTTGAGCACTGGGACGAAATGCCAAGAAAGTTATATCTGGACTAACTTGATATATTTGTACCGTTTAGATATGCATTCCTTTTTTTACACCGTTCAGTTTACAGGCAACGAGCTGATATCCAAACACAGTTCATTTACAGGCTAAGAGCCGTTGTCAGCTTCAGTTCACTTACATGCTGCGAGCTATAATCCAACCTCAGTTCATTTACGGGCTAAGAGTTGCTTTCCAACCTCAGCTCTTTTCAAAGCCTAGACCTAAGTCATACACCTACCTTTTCCCCAAGGCTTCCACCCACAACAGGTGACTAACACTCAGGTACCGTACTGTTTACTGCTAAGAGAACAGAGACATCATATGCAAGGGAACGTGTCAATAATTCTCTACATGTCCTCTGTTGAACTCGGATTATTTTCTTGTAAGCTTCAAACACTAGCAGAGCTGCCACTAACACTGAGCAGTGTTTGCTTCAGTCGCTCGTGCGTGATCCAAGGTCTGCATTATAAATCTTAATTGCTGTGGTCAGCATAGCTGGAGACAGCCACCATGACTGCAGCTGGAAAAGATACACGATTTGTGGAGAGGAACTCTGTTGAGACTTCGCCTGTAGATCAGACTTCCTCAGTCAAAGAGGAAGTTTGTTCGACAGGAAAAAGTCACATTAGTGCTTCTCGTTGCAAATTGTGTTCATCTTTTCCGCTTGTTGGTCTTGTGTTATTCGTCTCCGTTAAAATAATTTTTTGTTTCATATCATTAATTTAAGAATGCTTGAAAACTATCGATTACTAAATATTGCCTAGTTATAAATAATGTCTAGTTACTTTCTAGTATCTTGAATTTCCTAGTTATATTAATAAATAAACTAAGTTTACAACAACAAAACTAATTGCTATTTTGTAGTACATTTATATCGTTGAGAAACCTAGTATTTCTGGTGGTCCTAACATCGTTGAAATGACTGGTTTTCGTAGCTTTATCTGGCTATCTCATGCTGCTGCGATACCCCTTAAGATAAATGCTGTGAGATTCATTAACATCCCAGAGTTATGACATCCTAAATCACGTCCCTAGATTGCCCATCACACTAATCTACGAGAATTTGCAAAGTTGCCTCTTGTTACTCTGGGTCGTCTTGTGATAATCGTGTTTTGTAGCAGGGTTTGTTTCTAGTAGTCATATTGCATCATCATCATTGTAATCGTTATCATCATCATCATCATCATCATCATCATCATCATCATCATCATCATCATCATCATCATCATCATCATCACCCTAATCTGTAGAGAAGTTCCCTAAAAACAGATAAATGTGTCGCCACACACGAAAAGTCTTCTCAGCAAGAAAGGCCTTTAGATAGCTACATGTCTATCGAGTACCGTAGAGAGTTTATTTTTTAGTTATGTGGTACTGTGATAGGATGTGGGCTCTTAAACTCAAGCACTGTGGTAAAGCTACATCATTCGTGATGCCTAGAGAATGTTATGTTGACTCGTTTTTTCCCTCTGTCCTGAAATAAACGCTCTGGACACGAACATGTCTACACAACTAAAATAAAACAGAAGATAAGAGGAGTACTGTTTACTTGGATCTGCCTCTGAAACTCTCTCTTCAGCAGTGTCAGACTGATATTGACAGCACTTTTCTTAGCTTGTGTTCTGTTTTCACGTTGGTTCGTTTGAGCCATTGTACCAATGTAACGCTGTGTGTGGGTGTTCATTCTGTGGTGCTGTAACAATTATGTATGTTTGCTACTGATGCTTTTAATGCCGAGTTTTCTTAAGTTTGTGCTGTGAAAAAGCTGTAACCAGTAGCGCTATGATAAAGCTGTTTGACCAGTGACGCTACGATAAAGCTGTGTGGTATATGACTTTTCTCTGCTGTGGTAAAGCTATGTAACCATCAAAACACCAGCTAGTGCATGAGTCCCAAGGCAAGACTTCTTGGGAACAGAGGGACACCATGGGACTTACCGTGAAGTGTGGTCTTGGCTCGGAGAAGACTTCAACATGAGAGTCGAGCGTGCCCCAGTTGTAGGCGAGCACGGCGCTATGTCTTTTCCATCCCTCCAGCCACATGGACGCCCATACCACGTTCAGGAAAGCAAAGAGCACAAACCCCTTGTCCTCCAACGCCTGATCTCGTCCCCACAAGCAAACCTGCAGTGGAAAGCAAGGTAGCTACATATTCCTGTTTGGGTTGGATGATTACATGCGTTTAAAGGCTATCTACTGCAGCGTTTATTCATTAGGTATTCACTGTATCTTGCCAGTCTTGTGCGTCATAAATCATAACTGCGTCACTAGAAGATCTGCTCACTAGATAACATGGTTATAGTTACGCACATTCTTAAAAAGGTAAATGTTAGCTATATTAGATTAAGTAAATTATAGGTGCATTAAATCATGTAAATTTTGAGTTACATTATGCAAATTTTAGCAAGATTAGTTTTGGGGCAAAAAATGGCATATCCTAGATTTGCATCAATTAGTTTCACTCGCGGGGAGCTAATCTTCAATTAACCCATATTTGGTAACACAGTTTTCCTGTGTTATTGCCGTGTGACAGTTTATATTTTTCCATACATCTTTATTTTTTCATATAATCTTTCGTGTTGCTCTCAACATGCTCGGAGACTCTCGCTGTTCCCTAGGATCAGCAGTTGTGGCAGGATGCGCGGTCGGTAGTACAAGGTTGAGAAATGCTCGTTTACACTCAAGAATTCACGGCATGACATTTGGCTGAGTGACCCAATACAAGGATCAATGTTTCGTACAGGCAGCAAGTACATGTACAAGGTATACAAGTCTAGCTGACATCAATTACATACTACTGTATAGAAAGCCGCTTGTTATGCTGAGCATTTCGGGCAAATTAGGTCAGTTTTGTCCCAGGATGCGACCCACTGCAAAGCTCCAGGCAGACTCACAATTCTTTTCATGGCCTGCAGCAAGAACAATAGAAGTTCAGGAAAGCAAAGATTCAATAACTCCATTGTCCTCAACAGCGAATTACGTCACCCACAGACAAACAATGGAAACAATGGTAGCATACATATTCCTGTTGGGCTGGGTATATCTTTGAAAGGATCTACTCGTCAAGCGTTTATTCATTAGTATCATCGCATCTGCTAGACGTCTTGTGGTATAATAAACTTCAAAACTGAGGCAAGACTGTGACACTACTTCAGGTCATTGTTTACGCTGTAAAAATGTAACTAATAGCATTTCAAGTAGTAAATTTGGCCTGACTAAAAATTTTGAGAACTTTCAGCAAATTAGCAAGATTAGTTTGGGCAAAATTATTGGAGTCCTAGATTTGCACAAACTTATTCCCGGAGCTAAGCGTAATAACCAATTGGTAACACACTGGAATTTTCCGTGTATTGGCCTGTACCAGTTTATTTTTCCAACAAAATTATTTTTTAATAATTTTTTTCAAAATCTTTCGTGATTGCCTCAACCTCAAGATACAGCGCGTGTTCCCTAGATCACAAGAGCTGACAGGATGCGGTCAGGTGTCACAAGGTTGAGTAATGCTCGTTACACACACAAAGGATTCCACAGGCACTTTGGCTCTTCAGTGACACCTAGACAAGACCAATCTTCCGGTCAGCAAGTACATGTACAAGTATACAAGTCTGCGTGCACCATCACAATCACTGATGATCAGCGCTTGTTCACTGAGCATTGGCGGGAAATTAGGCGGGGCGTTTGACCCGGATCGATCCGCGAACACCAGTCAACTAAACAGTACCCATTACCATTTTATACTGATGGGTGAACAGGGCCAGCAGGTGTCTTATGGAAATACGCCCTAATGTTTTCCAGTCGTACCAGAGGAGATTCGAACTCCGGACCTCAGTGTGTGAGCCGAGTACGCTAGCGATCAAGCTAGTAGTAGTGATAATAAATATAAAAATATTAATTGTAGTAATAATAATAATTGCCTGACTATATAAATATATTTTCCAGTTTTTCCTTTAAATATATACTAATAAAACAACAACTATTGGTCACTTTTTTGGATTACATTAAAAGAGAGAGAAATAAAGGTTGAACATTGGTTGTTGACACATCCTCGCTAAACATGATACTATAACAAGTCTTACAGATGATCTAATGCAGTTTGACAAAAAAATGATGAATACCAGGCCTTTTTTTGGAAAGAAATTTGTCTTTACCCGTTGATAATAAAAGTTAATATTGAACAGACAGTTAATTGAATTTACTTACGTTCACTCAATATTGACTCCCGAGAGCAGATTTGTTTTTTTATTTATTTATTTGCATATTTTTTGATGTTAGATTTATTTAAACGTCTCGAGATGAGCAAAAATAAGTTATATGTTAGTGATAATGATTATTCTATTTCACACCATTCTAGCGATATATACAAGATTTTAAAAGTTCGTATCAGGCACAGACTTTTCTAGTAATGAATAATAGATTTAATAAAGAAAATGGATTGATTTGGGGGGAACCTGAATTATTAATGCTGTCTTACCCATATTATTAACCCGATGACAGCTGGAATGGTAAGGGCGGTGGTGTAGTATCCCAGCCAGGCGAAGTAGATGGCGATTTTGGAGCCGAAGTATTCCTGGATCGCCTCTGTTGGGAAGCCCAGATGAGTTACCATTAACAGAACACTCTCAAGTTGGTTTAGTTGGTCATTATGACTTCATGTAACTTGTTCTTCACCGGTAAAGAATACTTTAATCACTGAAACAGAGATTAAACTAAACTGTCAGTATATGTACACTGAGAAACTTGCACCTCTCGGTATATACGACCTTGTGAATACTTGCAGGACCGTGAATATCTTTTAATAAGAAGCATACTGAAGGCATAGATAAGAGGCAACACTAAAATAAGCTAGTAAGTTTAATCATAAGAACTTGTCTACCTTATAATTATATATGATAAACTTGCAGTGCAAATTTGTATAAGTGAATTTTGGCATTTTGGCTGTTGCTTAGATAAATCTTGAGTCTAGTAAGTTTATTTAGGTACAGGTAAGCATAAATACAGTTATCACGTATAGAGTAAATTCCCTAGGACACCGCATAAAAAAATCAAATTGCCTTATTTCAGTTGTGGAGTCTGACATGAGTGCCTCTACGAGCCTGGCACTCGCCTGTGCCTGAAAGTAGAGAAAAATGACACAAAGCCGACAAGTTCTGAAGAGACACAAGTCCAGAGAGGAACTTGACTGAGACGTTTGTCTCACTGAAGCAGCCTGTCCACATGGCTTCCTGCAACTATCCATCTCACCATTTGTTTAAAATTGCCGCTTCCTCACCTTTGGCTGGAGGTGCTGGAGACTCACCTATGGGCTGGTATCTGAAGAAGGTCTGCACCCAGGTGGTTCTCAAGTGCTCCAGTTTGTTGTAGTCGTGTAGGGGAAGAATACCGTGGATCAAACCCTCAGACTCGAACTTGGGAACTGGAAGGGAAAATAAGTGTCTTACTGTGGGCTATCACCTGCTCTGAAAGATTGTGGTGTAGATTGTTTGGGTGATAGAGTTTAAAGCCTATCGACTACAAGAATACTTTAATCCCTAGAGCAGAGCTAAAAGTAAACTCTAAGCATGCATACACTGAGAGAAATACATCTCTCGGTGTATATATCTCGTCCCATCGTGATGTATATTTTAGAGGGCAGGAAGTGAGAAAATAAACTGGCGAATTTATGAATATTAAGCTATAATCCAGTTATAATTGTTAAATAAACCAAACTAAATTGATCGTCTCCTTTGCCTTTTTATTTCCATTCTTTGGATTAAGATTACTTATAAACCCTTCAGAACAAACCTCTCCCCCTTCGATAAACCAAAATGAAAATAAAAAAAAAATAATCTACAACCTTTATTCTACATCACCATTTCTCATGAGTTCACAAATGTTAGAAGTTTCCAGTTATTAAATATATATATATATTATATATATATATATATATATATATATATATATATATATATATATATATATATATATATATATATATTATATATATATATATATATATATATATATATATATGAAGGAGGGGTTTTAATGTTGCAGTTTTATAACTGTAGTGTAAAGCACCCCTCTGGCAAGATAGTGATGGAGTGAATAATGATGAAAGTTTTTTCTTTTTCGGGCCACCCTACCTTGGTGGGAATCGGCCGATGCGTTAATAAAAAAAAATATAATTTACACTCATAAATAAACGATAGATAACAGTAGTTAAGGAATAACGGTAAGGGAGATGGAGTGAAGGAAGAAGGAAGGAGAAAGAGGTAGGGAGAGTACTCACTGATAGCTTGTCCCTCCCTGAAGGTAGTGCCCTCGACTGCCTCTCCCTGCGTCGCCCTCAGGGAGTTCAGGATGTGTAGTACGATGCTCTGCCTCTCCAGTGTTGTGAAGAAGCTCGCTCCATCCTCCACACCCTGCAACACACAACTTCTGGAGTGTTAGGTCACATCTGTGGTGCTGGGTGACACCTGTGATAGCATTCAACACGTGTGTTAGCACACATCACCTGCGACGGCAAGCAACATCTGTGACAGCATGCAACACTTGTAACAGAAAGCAACACTCATGCCAGAATGCGGCAACACACTCAACACAACCATACTTACTTTGAGCTTAAACTCAAACACTTGAGAACCAACAAATTAACAAAATATTAAAGATAAAATTAGAGTATAATACAAACGCATACAAACATATTATATCTAATATATAATGATAATAAATATACGAATTTTTTCTCATATAAATGAGGGGTTTTAAATTTGCAGTTTTATAACTGTAGTGTAAACACCCTCTGCAAGATAGTGATGGAGTGAATAACTTCAAGTTTTTTCTTTTTCGGCAGGCCACTCCCTATCTTGTGGAATCGGCCATGCGTTAAGACAAAAAAATATAATTTACCTCATAAATAAACGATGATAACATAGTTAAAGGACATTTACGGTTAAGGGAGATGGGTGAAGGAAGAGGAAGTACAAAGAGTAGGGAGAGTATCACGATACTTGTCACCACCGAAGGTAGTGCCTCAACTGCCTTCCGCGTGGTGACCCTCCCAGAGTTCAGGATGTTATACGATGTTGACAACTCTCCATGTTGTGAAGAAGCTCGCTCCACCTCCAACACTGCACACAAACTTTACGAGTGTTCAGGTCCAGTCTGTTTGCTGGTGACACTGTGATAGCATTACAACAGTGTGTACACACATCACTTCCGGCAAGTAACATCTGTGACAGCATGCAACACTTGTAACAAAAGCAACATCATCAGAATGGGACAACTTCAACACAGATCTATACTTACTGGTTGAGCTAAACTTCAAGACTTGAGAACCAACAATGTGAACCAGGAAGTATGCAAGATACATTGAGAGTGTGAAAACCAAGTACTTTAAAACACTATTGATCCTCAAGTCATTAATTCAGATCACATAAAACATCAACGAAGGTGTTTTTCTCGGGGATAAAATGAGTGCATTAAACTTCACGTGTATCTTCATTACAGCAGTGGTGACCAAACTTCCCAAGTATCTTTATTACAGCAGTGGTGACCAAACTTCCCAAGTATCTTTATTACAGCAGTGGTGACCAACTTCCAAGTATCTTTATTACAGCAGTGGTGACCAAACTTCCCAAGTATCTTTATTACAGCAGTGGTGACCAAACTTCCCAAGTATCTTTATTACAGCAGTGGTGACCAAACTTCCCAAGTATCTTTATTACAGCAGTGGTGACCAAACTTCCCAAGTATCTTTATTACAGCAGTGGTGACCAAACTTCCCAAGTATCTTTATTACAGCAGTGGTGACCAAACTTCCCAAGTATCTTTATTACAGCAGTGGTGACCAAACTTCCCAAGTATCTTTATTACAGCAGTGGTGACCAAGCTTCACAAGTATCTTTATTACAGCAGTGGTGACCAAACTTCCCAAGTATCTTTATTACAGCAGTGGTGACCAAACTTCCCAAGTATCTTTATTACAGCAGTGGTGACCAAGCTTCACAAGTAGCTTTACTACAGCAGTGGTGACCAAGCTTCACAAGTAGCTTCATTACAGCAGTGGTGACCAAGCTTCACAAGTATCTTTACTACAGCAGTGGTGACCAAGCTTCACAAGTAACTTCATTACAGCAGTGGTGACCAAGCTTCACAAGTAGCTTCATTACATCAGTGGTGACCAAGCTTCACAAGTATATTACAGCAGTGGTGACCAAGCTTCACAAGTATGCTTTATTACAGCAGTGGTAACAAAGTAAAGTGTGACCTGTTATGTTAGGTTATTACCAGTATGTTGTTAAAAAAAAACGAGCCAGGAAATGATGAGCGTATTGGTGTCTCAGTTCTCAGGTTTCTGGTCTCAGGCTTCTGGTCTTAGGTCTCATGTCTCAGGCCTTTGGTCTCAGGTCTCTGGTCTCAGGTCTTGTGATTCTAAGTTACTCTTAGAAACCTTAGAAACTTTATCGCCTTTAGTGGCAGCAACAGCAGCGACCTCCAAGCTCCGTACTTTTCTCCAACTATCAGAGCCACCAATGCTCCTATGATGACCTAGTTACAAGCAAAACTACACTACCCAACGTAACACCCAGAATGACCAAAGATTACCAACAGTGAAACCTACAAATCGAAAATAATAGAGATCAAAGGAAGACTGCCCTCAAACCCAAAGCAACATCCCGCTGCCAGCCGAACAACGTAACCCTAAGCTTTGTATAACTACAACTTCTTAACTACAACAATTCCTTGTAGTATTATGAGGCGCAATCTCAGAGGAAACAGCACCAAGGCCAGCAAGAAAACACCGAAAAATCAACTATTCAACAAGTGTAGCCAGGAGGACGCCGGCCCAGCAACCACCCCACTCACCACCGCTCAAGGCGACACCACAACAATAACAACAAACATGGCTGCCAACAGCCCATCCCCCCTCTCTTCCCCGGATTCAACCTACCAAGTAGTCTCTCAGTATGACCAACGATCAGATACCCTAAAGTCTGCATCTCCACCTTAGTTATTGAAAATATGAATCTTCGAGAGACGCTAACAAAACAAGACACCAGGATGACACAACTCGAGACAAAATCCTCAGTCTTGAACAAAAGTTAACAACACCAGGAATGACTAACTGTGACAAGACCATCCAAACAGTCATAGATAGCCATACCCAACAAATAATATCTCTTAATACAAAGGTTGAAGAAGCAGTAAAAGAATGAAAGAATAACTTAGATAACCAGTTCAGTGACTACTTTGCTCTCCAAGAAAATAAAACTGAACAAGATAAACTATCGGACGCAGTAATAGTTAACAGTCCACTTTTTCCCAGTGATATGAACCAAACAAACAGTAAAGAAATTACTCTGCAGATCATAAAGGACCAAACAAGTGTTATTGTACCAGAGTCTGAAATAAAAGAAGCCAGGTTACTAGGATCCCATGGTAGAAAAAGTGTTATGCTTAGATTCCTCTCACATGACAGGAAAAAAGATTTAATTATTGCATCTATTAAAGTAAAGAAAGAGGTATACATAAACGAGTGTCTTACCAAAAAAAAATGTCAGAACCTCCTGTATAGAATCAGAAAACTTAAGCGAGAGAATAATGACACAATACACCAATGCTTCACACGGGATGGGAAAACTTTAATTAGGAAAACAAATGTAGGTCAACTGTACACAATCACGAACGAGAATGATCTATCACGATTTCTCAGGGATATTAATCTTACAGAGAATAACTAAACAATGTCCAACCTAAAAGCCTACGTAGTGTAGTGTAAGTTTTGCTCCATTATTGTTCAAATTTCATAGTACAATCTCTTAGTAATTAAATAATCAACTACCTCATTTTGTGATTTTACTAGTAAGCATAAGTCACCTTATCTAATTTTCTTATTTACTATTGTTTGCTTAAATATTAGCTGAATTGATACTTTCTCTGTCCATATTACTACCTCATATTTTTTTAAATACTATTAATTGATATTACTTACTAAAATTAATAATTAATTACCATTTTTACTATCAGTACAATTTACTCTTAATTTTTTGACATCATTTAATTACCATTACTTGTCTAATTACCTTAACCTGTTTTAATACCACATTTACTATCTTAGAGTACTCTTAAATACCTTGTACTGCCAGATAACCTCTAGTATAACTACCAGTGCAATATTGAATCCAAATAACTGTTCTTAAAATTTAATACTTGAAATAAGCATTACTTTTTCACTTTTTTTTTTTGCTAATTAATCTTTTTTGTAATCATTATTACTTACTAAAATTTTATTAAACACCATATTTACTACCAGTCAATTTTACTTTTGTACATTAATCATTATTTTAAACTTTTCATAACATTTTGTTGCCAAATTTTCAAGTTTGTATATTCAACTCCAACCTTTATATTATCCTTTGTACCTGTGTACCTGTGTACCTGTGTACCTGTGTACCTGTCTACCATCTTACTATCATATTATAACCAGGTCATTGCCATTGTTATTTTTTACTTATT